TGACATTCATTCAGACCATAGATTCAGACAGACACAGAACATGCAGGATTTATATTTAAATAGCCTTTTTGCGGCTTAATATTTACAGATACTAGTCCATATCACGATTTAAGTCTAATGACCTTCCTTTGAATAATTCATCCAAACTTTGACAAATTCCGTGACATTCCGCGTTATACAGTAAATTCCGTTGACTGGATTCCGCAATTCCATCCGTGTTTTCCACATCGCGGAAATCATAGGGCCATAGGCGTACCTTGATGAAAGGTCCAAACTCCACCTCTGAGTCACTGTCATCAGAATCCTGTGTGTTGCCAGATGTTGAGGGTCCTGAGGTGTGCACCAACCCATTTAGAGCTTCGGTAATGAGCCGATTTCATGGCTTTGTTTTGATGAGGTTGACTTTGGAAAAAACACGTTCTGAAATTATCGTATATTATAGGATTTTTTTCATTATTGATCGTACATCGTACAGAGATCAAAATTATCGTACAAATACGATCATTATCGTACGTCTGGCAACACTGTCTACAGCTGAGAAAAATGACGCTAGATGGCAGCACGTACGTTGGTATAAATCAAGAGCACGAGTACATGAAAGTAGCAGTGATTTTAGGAGTTAGAAGTTAGGCTGTAGTAACATTTTCAACATTTTTTAGGCAAAAAACGGTCCATTGTCAACAGTGTACAGATATTTGAAGCACTGCTCATTGACCAGTGAACATGAGCGAAATCTGTGTGGCTAACTTTTTCGCTTATGCAAAACTCCCATTCTTGCGAATTCCCATTGGAATGACTGGATATATCGCTGAGCAATATTAAATGTGGCCACACCCCAAAAGTACCGTTGTACGACGATTCAGTCATCTCAAGAGGAATCTTCTCTATCAGATATTTGAGGGACGTGAACCCTGCGCGAATTTTCCTCCATCAGATTCACAAGTTTCGCCACATTGACCAATATAAAAGCTGCTTAGTTTGGAATTGATTATGGTGCTTAATGTATCACTACAATATTGACAGTAAACAGTGGACCAACTTTGCCTGAAAAACTTCATAGAAGTTTTGCAAATGTGATCGTGCTTTTACCTGAAAGAGCAGCCTATGGAATCAGAAATAAATATTCCAGCAAGCCGCTTAAATACAAGTATATTTTCCTTCATTTATCTTTTATCTTCTCTTTGTTTCCCCCTCATCTTTCGTTTGTGTTCTTCTCTGGGGATGTTGAAAGATTTTTTGATAGCTTCTAGCTAAGGATGAGGACAGAGATCAGTCAAAGAAGAAAGCTTTGAGACAGAAAGGCTGCTCTTTTTTACAAAGTTTTCAAAGCTCAAAGCCTGCCTGGCCTGTTGTAGGAATCTGTTTTGGCATATGGGGAGAATTATTGGACATTAGGAGTATAATGTAGCTCATAAAGGGGGGAGCTCATCTGAACTGGATTACTGATTTTATCAATCTCAGTCTTATTATAGAACAGTTCATGAGAACGGCATGAAAAAGGTTTCAAGGCATGCCTGTCGACTAGTATAATGATAATAGTTAGAGTTGATTGCAGAGTGCTAACTGCAATATTATTTAAAGATTATTTTGTTATTAGAACGTCCTACAATTTGAACATCTGGTCAGCAATACAATTTAAAGGGATAGTTAATTCAAAAATGACATTTCTTTACCCTCAAGTTGTTCCAAACCTGTATGAGTTTCTTTCTTCTGTTAAACACAAAATAAGATATTTTGAAGAATGCTGTTAACCAGTTGCAGGTAGCCATTGACTACCATAGTACGGAAAAGTAACATTCTAACACAATTCCAACATTCTTCAAATCTTAAATCTTTTGTCTTCAACAGAAGAAATTCGTACAGGTTTGGAACAACATGAGGGTGAGTAAATTTTCATTTTTGGGTGATCTGTCCCTTAAAAAAGTCACTGTATGTCTTAAGAACTTCCCATAATGTTAGAGACCTTAGAAAAGTTCATATTTTAATACATGATCCACCACATTATGTACATAATGTACAACTGACAACAATCCTGCTGCATACAGTTGCAAGGCATTCTGTGAGTAAAAGCTAACAAGGTTTTAATTTTTAACAGTTGATTTGCTAAGAATAATTTAATCAGATTTCACTCTGACATTCAAGGTTAATCTCATTTTATTCTGGGCAGCAGAAGCACATTTACTTCTTATAAATCAACATTCATTTACAAAGCAAATGTATGAGTGAATAATAACATTTCCATTCTACCCAAATTAATTTGCTGATTGCGTTGTAGAACTTTGTACCAAACCATGTGATCATGAAATTATGTGTATTTTTAGGTACGTATATTATATAGCAGTCTCACATTATTCAGACTGTTACAGTATTATATACAATTCTCACAATTTATGTAGTTATGTATGTTCTGAGTTTATGTCTAGCATTTCTGACGTTTTTCTCCGAATTATGAGGAAAAAAAGTCCGAATTGTGAGTTGTATGGACCATATTGGCGCTCGATGCCTTATGTGTTCACTATAAAATATTTTTCTATGAAAAGACAAGATAATGTTGATTAAGATTAAGATAATGTTAAATTATTCAAATTATTCATTTGTCCTGCTGTTTACAATGGAAAAAATAGCATTGAAACAACATGGGGGTGAGAAAATAATGACAGAATTTTAATTTTGTGCTGGACTATTCCTTTAACAAAAATAGCATTTACTTGTGCAGCACAGCGAGAGGTCAAGTCTTGCGTCAAATTTTAAGAAGGAAGGAAAGCCAGTCGGAGAGATGAGAATGTGATGAGGAACTTAGTGAGTGTGTGACTTGTGTGACAGTCAGGCTGAGAATTCCTCAATCTTACTCTGCCGGCCCTCAGCCAAGATTCGCTCGAGTGCAACTCACATGAGTTAATCACTCTATACTCCCCCAGCATACTTAAACCCAAGACACATATTTTCAGCTGTTTCGCTCCACCAAACAGCTGTTGTTGTGCTGTATCATGGTTAAATGAACAACATGCTGAGGACAGAACCCTGTGGAACACTATTCATGCAAGACAAACGGTATGTGACACTCATGATGTCCGTGCTGGAGAGTTTTGTAGTGCTCAGCTTAAATGCGTGATAATGTGTGACTGGGTAGATGTGCAAAAAGTGCGAAGTTTCATCCTAAGAAGATATGCAGTGCGCTCAGGTTCACCAAAACCTGCTGTAGTGCTGAGATAACGCAGATGAAGTGCTAGTTTTCAAGTAGAGTTTCTGCCCCACATTCTGCTCCTCCATGATGATGGTTTCTTTTTTAACATTAAGCACCAGCTACAGTCTTTCAACCAGAGATGTAGGAACAATATGAAAAATGGAAGGGCCACATAATAAACCTTGCCAGCTTGGCTCATTAATATAAGACAATGTAACATTTGCCCAGTTGCAAACAGTGCCAGAAATGACCTTTTTCACTTTTAGCTGAAGTCTGAGTACTAAAAGCTCTTTTTAAAGTCCATGTGAATGCACTTACTGCTGTTTCTAGTTTTGATGTCTTCATGGGCTTTATAAATCAGATATTAATGTGGAATAGTCAAGTTTTCCCAGGTCTGCATGCGCAACAAGTGGGCGGGCAATATGCTAATGTTTCATGTTGATGTCAACATGAAACGGCTCGGTTTAAATGATTCAGAGTCGACTCTTTCTTTTGAGAGACAATAACTTTATACACGGTGCAGTTTCAGATTTAAAACTTTGCGGGATGTTTTCATTAATTTAGAGCTGTGTTACACACTGCATGAAAGGTAATTTTCAAAAACCCATAATAGGGGCACTCTAAAGTCAAGAATTTAGAACAGTCACAGTTTAATCTATGACAATGAACTTGTCCATTCAAACTGAGTTGCTTTACTTTTTTTTTTTTTTTTAAGAAATTAATACTTTGATTCAGCAAGGACACATTAAATTGCTTAAAAGTGACAGGAAAGATATTTCTTTTATATGTTACAAAAGATTTCTATTTCACATGCTGTTTTTATTATGTTTTATTCATCAAAGAATCCTGAAAATGTATGTTTACACAAAAAATATTAGGCAGCACAACTATTTTCAACATTGATAATAATAAGAAATGTTTCTTGAGCACCAAATGAAAATATTTGAATGATTTCTGAAGGATCATGTGACACTGAAAATTCAGCTTTGACATTACAGGAGTAAATTACATTTAAAATATATAAAAATAGAAAACGATTATTTAAATTGTAATAACAGATCACAGTTTTACTGTATTTTATTCCAATAAATAAGAAACCTAAAAAAAACATTTAAAAAATTTTTTAAGCAGCAGTGTATTGTGTTCTGTATTAGCAAAAAATTAAAAAAAAAAAGTTTTTGGATGAAAACTAAATTTATTATAGTTAATAATTATTCACAGAACTGAGCATTGTGAACATTTTCTTTTTGACTCTCTTAATGGATTAATGGATGTGCACCATAATTGTGCAAAAACTCTTCAACATGGTTTAATTAGATGTTAATGGATGTCTAAATTTGGTCAGAGGAATGCATTTGATTGACGTACATGGTTTGCTTGAAGTTTTTTATGAAACCATTAAGAGAGATCCTTTGAAACCATACTTTCTCTAAAGCTAAAAGAAATCTAAGAACAACTAAAAAGTGTACTGACGGATTGAACCCATTAAGGATTCCTGTGTATCTTAGCTGAAGAATAACTTTTGATGTTTCTAAGACATAACAGGGATATTTAGAAATCGCATATCCAAAGTCAGTCCATAAAGGCTCGATATGTTCAAAGAATCTGTTGCTCTGATGTTAGATGTGTCTGGTCTATTATCTTTTTCCTGTTCACATCTGCTTTCATTCACTGTCCATTGACATTAACAGTATACATTCCTTTTCTTAGAAAACCTACAGCAATAAAAAAAAGAAGGAAATTTGCATTGAGCTGCATTTGCTTCTTTCCAACCAAGCAGAATATAACAGTGTGTTTTCTGTTTCTTTGTCTTCAGATTGTCATTTCTTCAAAACCGAAAGTACAGCGTCAATTCCAACCGATTTCTGTCATGCGAGCTGGAATCTCAGGAGTCTGTTGGGACATCATAGCCAAGAGTTCAATGCCTACAGACACAGCCTGAGGAGAACATACAGACAACACAGCTTACATAGGAAATATGTGTCAAATCAAGAGACTTCATTGCAGTTTCCTTTTGATGAGAAACAACAAATCACAAAGATAGTTTATAGGCCTATTTCGCATAACTTCTACATTATGTAAGAATGATGTTAGCATGCAGGCATTTTATCTGACAGCCTAAAACCATGAATGCAACCAGATCAAATGTCCAGGAATGTTCAAGGAGATGGGGAAGGTTTGAAAAAGCACAACAAAGGAAAAGAAGGCAAAGAAAATAAGTTTCAAAAGAATCAGTTCAATTAAAAATGAAAATTGCTGAATATTTATTCACCCTCAGGTCTTCCAAGAAGACCATCACTTGATCACAAATGGATCCTGTGCAGTGAATGGGTGCTGTAAAAAAGAGTCAAACAGCTGATAATTGTGAAGTGTAAAGTGGTCCGAACCACTGTCCTGCAGAATTTATCTCCAACCCTAATTAAACACATCTGAAGCAGCTAATCAGGGTCTTCAGGGATTACTAGAATCTTCCAGGCACGTGCTTTGGAGCTGGTTGGAGCTACATTCTGCAGGACACCGGCCCTCCAGGACCGGAGTTTGATACGTGTTTAAGCCAGAAGCAACGGTTAGAAGTTAAAAACTGATTTGTTTCTTACAAACATGCAGCTTTTCACTTTACAAGCTGTTAATCGATGGACTGGAGTCGTGTGGATTTCTTATGGATTATTGTGTTTTTATCAGCTGTTTGGACTCTGACGGCACCCATTCACTGCAGAGGATCCATTGGTGAGCAAGTGAAATAATGCAGAATTTCTCAAAATTTGTTCGGAAGAAACAAACAAACTCATATTCAGCATGTAGTCTGAGGGTGAGTAAATATTCAGCAAATTTTAACGTCTGGGCGAACTATTTATTCAAAGAGATCTTTCTTCGTCCCCTTGAACATTTTTCAAGCTGTATGGGATGTCAACTTACTGCTTCTCATTTGTGTAGTTGTTCTCATCTTTCAAGTTAGAAGGAACATTTCTGCTTCAGCTGTAAAGGCTAACAATGATAAATCTATACAGCTTAGCAGACAGGTGCAAACAGCTTGTCATTTAAGCATGCGGTTATTCTTGCATCCATTGAACCTCAAAATGCTCATTTTCAGACTAAGGAGTTAATACTCCCTCTTTATTAATCAACGTATTTGTTGTACATGTACAGTTTTGACTTCTGTGAAAAGAAGCAGTGGCTTGTCACTGTGTGACATTTGTACTTTTATTGTATCACTGTAATCAAACGTAATTTAATGTACAGTGTACCTGGATGATGAATCTAAAAACTCTGTTGTCAAAGTTTCATAAAACTATATAAAAATTACATTGTTACTCCGTACCGCATGTGTTCGGCTCTTCCATTAAATAAAAGCTGCTGTTTGATTGACGTGCCATTGTTCTTTCCATTGTGCTCCAGACAGCTCGATGGAGGTTCCTAGGAGACAACTAAATGCTGAAATATTTTAATTGTGTAATGCTTCATACGGCCTTGAAAGCATTAGCTTGATCAGGCCATTACATTGTTTTGCCCAAATGAGCCAATTACATGTCGAGGCATCGAGTGCCATCAAAGATCTAAATTTACTATCCATTTGCGAAACAAATGTGAAGATGATTTCAAACGTGAAGTTTTAAAGCAGCTATTCCAGCATGAGGCCACACAACAGATGTTTTATACTCTGCCAGAGACAATCAACTTGACAAAAAATAATAATGCCACGAACTCTGAAGTATTCGCTCATAATACACACTACTGTTCAAAAGTTTGGGGTCAGTAAAAATGTTTTACTCTCATGACCACAAAGACATTTATCAAAAATATAGTAAAAACAGTTCTATTGTGAAATAGTATTCCTATTTAAAACAGCTGTTTTCTATATTACATTTTAAAATGTATTTCTGTGATGGCAAAGCTAAATTTTTTACGAGCCATCACTCCAGTCTTCAGTGTCACATGATCCTTCAGAAATCATTCTAATATGCTGATTTGATGCTCATTTAACATTTATAATTAATATTATCAATGTTGAAAGCAGTTGTACTGAATTTTGTGGAAACAGCAATACATTTAAAAGATTCTTTGATGAATAGAAAGTTCAAAAGAACAGCATTTATTTGATATAGACATCTCTATTCTCCCTTTTGGTCAATTTTAATGCAACCTAGCTGAATTAAAACCCAAACTTTTGAGCAGTAGTGTACATACACCATTTCTAGTAATTCAGGGTAGAGATATTTATTTAAATAACTGTGCAGTCTTAAAAAATAAAAATAAAAAAAGCCAACTTTGAAATGTATAAAAAGCATTTTATTAAAAGTGCTGTATATTAACAAGCAAATGACTGACCTTTTATGAGCTAATATATACAGAATCTGACTAGGCAAATAAACAGTGACAAAATAAAGCAAGATAAAAATATATATAATTGTGATTTTTTAAAAATTTGTCTGGAAAGTCACTGCATTGGTCAAAGGTAAATAAGACAAACACCTGAAAATAGTTATATCCTGTACAGTCTCAATCCTGACATTATTATTTGTGACCTAAACCTCATAAAAAATAAATAATAAAAAAAAGTATCAAATGTTGGCAGTCCAATCAAAGCATGTCTTTAACGGTGGAATTGAGAAAAGCATCAGTGTTGGCTTTCTTGGAGAGCTCGCTCTGTAATGGAAAACCAGATAAAACATGTTAACACATCTTTACTAACTGAACACTGAATCATTATTATGTGTGGGCCTTAAAATGTTAATGATCTCTCTCAGGGGAATTAGTGGTCACAAATGAGCATCCTCCTTATCACAGATGCTCCATTTGGAGTTAATAAACATCCGGGGAAGTGGTCTAATGCAGAGTGATTGGGCTTACGGTAAAGGCCGAGTAGCTCACTGGAAGCGGTTTCTTGTCACTGCCCTGATTCTTTTCCCAAACTTCCACAAGGCTTCTTAACTCCTCTTCCAGCTGTTTGTGTAGACATACAAAGGCAAACTGACATTACAACCACAGCTTGTGTTAGCTCCCCATGTCGTTCCAAACCTGTAAGACCTTTGTTTCTCTTCGGAACACAAATTAAGATATTTGTGATGAAATCCGAGAGCTCTCTGACCCTTCCATAGACAGCAACGCAACTGACACATTCAAGGCCCAGAAAGGTAGTAAGGGCATTGTTAAAAAAGTCCATCTGACATCAGTGGTTCAACCTTAAGTTTGTGAAGCTACGAGAATATTTCTAGTGCACAAAGAAAACATAAATAATGATTGTTATTAGGTAGTAATAGCCACATTTCCACTGTCAGGCCAAAAGCGGGCGTGCTAGTGCGTGCCAGGGCCAGCTGCATTTCCACTGTCACTTCCGGGGCTTGATCGGTGCTTCCTCGGGGCCCACGGCCCAGGTTTTTTGGCCCGACGAAAACCTTGGGCCAAAGCGGGCCAGCTGGGGCTAGAGGAGTGGTTATTAAGAAAGGCGGAGTTTCTCGAGTCTGGAGAGCGTCAGCGCCGCGAATCATTTCAGAAAGTTAACAGCTAATACCAGCATTAAAGACTTTTCAAATAATTTTAGTTCAAAACTCACTTTCAGACAGCAGCGAGTGTTTGAAATAACTTGATCCGATGTGGATTATAATCACCATACAAGGCAGAAATATTTATAAGTGATGCAAAAGACTATGCACGCTCACCATCAACGTTACCATAGTAAACATGGTAAATACGACCGCTTGATCACAATCGTTTATTTATTTAGTAACATTTTATCTGTCATAAGTCTCGTCTCGAGAGTTTAGCTCAGTGTATGTCATAAAAATATAATAATGGTTTTTGTTCAGGAACTTTTATAAAAATATAGAAATGATCATTCTTTCTAAATGTGATGTACTGTGACTACAAATAAACAGAAGCAGACTCGACTGAATAAGTAGATAGGCTATGTTTAGAAAATGAATACTTTTCAACATACTTCTCAACTAAACTACCAGTAGGTGGCGGTTAGTAACTTAAAGGAGTCATATGACGCGATTAAAATTTTTCCAAGCTCTTGGTGCATAAAAAAGATCTGTAAAGTTGCAAAAATAAGAGTCTCAAATCCAATATTTATAAAGATATTCTTTATAGAAGTTAAGAGTCAACCACGCCTACCTAAAACGGCTCATTCTAACACACCCCCACATGTCTACGTCACTATGTGGGAAGATTTTCATAACGCCGCCCAAATGTTCACGCAAAGAAAGGCGGCATAACTTTTATTCTCGCTGTTGCCGCCGCTGCCATGTTGTGGAGATGCTGTGTGTTTCGTTGTGAAAGCGAAACTACTTTGTTTGGTCTTCCAAAAGAGGACACAAATAGAAATCAGTGGCTAAGTTGTATTTACAACACTGTTCCAGAACAGTTTAACCCAAATATTCAGATGTGTGGTGCACATTTTATGGAGAATGAGGACTGTTTCCTGAACCAGTAGCCTAATGCGTCTGTGGCACAAAGGTTGTTTCTATAACGTTGGGCAGTTCCAACTTTGCAAGGACAGTCTGGCGCTTCTGACTCTCAGCCTGTAAGTAAGTTTTTTATATTTAAATAATTTGCCAATGACGATTCAAACGCGAGTTTTGAGCAGTGTAGAGTAGGCTTGTTGTTTCTCCAATCACAAATGCAGACATGGTTTTGTGTTTACGCAGAGCGATACGCAACAATGCGTAAAAAGACCGTATAAGTCATTATAATCAGTAATTATGTCCCCACTGGATGCAACAAATGCCTCGTTTGTAATGGGTTTTATTGGTTTTGTCTCGTCTAGTGATGTCCGGATCACGAACGAATTGTTCTATTTAACCGGATCTTCTTAGTGAACCGGTCGAACCAGTTCACCAAATCTAACTCAATCGTTTGAAACGGTTTATAAACGTGCCTGACACTCCCTCTGACGCGAAATAAACCAATATCCAGAGTTATTCAGTTACTCCTAACAGTACATTGACTGAACTGCTAAAAGAGAACCGATGATGGGATGTGCACGAGCAGAGCAGCTGCTGGGAGATGGCATCCTTTCCGTCACACGCTTGAGACATTCGGCCAATCACAACGCACTGGATAGCTGGCCAATCAGAGCACACCTCGCTTTTTTAGAACGATGAGCTTTGTAAAAATCGACGCGTTTCAGAAAGGCGGGGCATAGAGGAGAAACAATAATGTACAGTATGTGGAAAATAATGTGGTTTTTTTTACCTTAAACCGCATAAACACATTTTATTACACTAAATACACAAAATAATATTATTTTTAGTAGCATCATATGACCCCTTTAATGAGTGAGTCATTGAGTCATTCATTCAACTGATTGAGTGCGTTATCATGTTGGCATCTTAAGGACTTTCGTGGACAGCTGACTCCTAAAGTTTTTCATATTAGGCATGGGCCGATTACCGGTTTCAAGGTATACCACGATTTGAAAATTTCACAGTTTCAAAACCGCTAATATTTTCCGTTATACCATTCCTGCGGTATGCATGGTTTTTCATGTATCCTCAAAGACTGAAAGTGTAGGAATCCCTCCGGTTGAGTGCAGCGTTAGAGAGTAACACGCCCCCTCCCCCTCCTGTTGGTGCGAGCGAGCGGTCAGTCACGTGTGTGTATGACGGCCGAAGGAGCTTCCTCTGGAACTTAAGCGATCTGCAACCGGCCGTTTATTGTTTTATTGCAGCCGATCTCTGTTCTGGACTTGCACAAACTGCGTTGCAATGCATATCATTTTTCAAATGTAATTTATGTGAAAATATGAAGTCTGTAAACGCCCGTTAACACAGGCCAGAGACGCTGAAGACGGACACACAGACAAAAATACTGTAGCAGGCAGATCACTCACTGTTCATGATGCACGAACTATTGGAAGAAAATCCTAAATATTGATTTGGGGGTTTATATGAATGAGTTTCTGAGGGGAACTGACTGTCTTCAGAAATGTTTAGATGGTATTTTCTTTTCATCTCGTATAATTCACATTAAAGCAGTGTTTCAGCGCAGCTCTGCTTCGTTTACTGCGATAACCAAGGAAACACTGTATCAGTGAATCTGCGTCCCATTCGGAGCTTCGCTGTTTGTTTCGTTCAGGCATGTAATATAATTTCACAAAGCTAGTCAGAACTAGAGCCCGACCGATATATCGTTTTGCCGATATGAGCCTGTTGCCGATATATCGGTATCGGCGAATATGCAGCCGATATGAACATATTTTTACAGAACATATAATGCAGATAAAATGCTTGAAATTGTGTAATTACTTAGTTTGTCCATTGTTTGCTACTGGCGACCTGGATGAAACGCGTTAAAGCTTAATTCGATGGAAAACCATTGAAACTTTGAACGGCCATATCTCCGTAACGGCGCGGCAATTCCGCACCAAATTTGGGGGATCCCTTCAGCTCGAGGAACCCTCTCAAACGCGAATCTAGAGGCCCTCTTTCAAATGACCACCCCCGTGTCGATAGCCCCCTGGGTTCGGGAGTTACGGATGGTTAAATTTGCGGTCCGGCGCCGACCGATCTAGCGATCCGGGGGGCTACCGACGTGCGGAGGGTGGCGTTCGAGAGGGCTCTTCGAGCTGAAGGGATCCCCCGAATTTGGTGGAGATCCGCCGGCACGTTCGCGAGAGAGTGACACCAGTCAACACTTTCCCTTCAGTAAGGAGGTCTCTTGTTCAGGCAGCATTCATGCGTTGTCTTATTCGACCGTAAGTGGACTTCACATGAAATTCCGCCATGATTCCAGTTACAAGGGAACGTACACGTTACATTCAAAGGGCATTAAAGTGCGCGAGATGTGAATTTATATTGTATTTATTTACAGAGGTAGGGGAGAGCAGGGCACAAAGTAACACTTTTTGACTTTCTCAGTTTGTGTAAATCCACATGGGGTTCAGAATATATATTTTTTTATCCACAGTAATTTTACACTTGTCTAGTACAAATATGTCGCTTTGTTTCATAATTACAGTGTATAAGTTTTTCTTTATTTACCCTCAAAAAATGGAAGTGAAATGTGACAACATGCCCTGTAGGTGGAACACATTGTAACATCTGAGGGGCACGTTGTAACTTGACCATATGACAGCTTAAAATCTTATCTGATCGAATGAAAAAAAATATACAAGACAAACTAAAATATTTTGTTAATTAAATAAAAATAATAATATAAATAAATATATATATATTTTTTTTAATAAAATAATGGCGTTTTTTTTTTATTAAAAATAATCTGATTTTGGAGTTTGACAATGAACACATTGCAACCATGCTTGGGACGGCCCACATAAACGAGCAAAAATGCTTTACATGTCTTGAAATAATAATTAAGCCAATATTTTAATTTGGTAAAATAAATATTCAAACCACGTGCGTTACAACTAACCCCCCCGTTTGTGCATCGCGCTCCCCTATATTATATCATGTCACACTTCTCTAGTAAGTTTCGTCTGTGTGTGTGTGAAGACAGTAACGCAAATCCGTGAATGAATGTTCCGAAGTGAAAAACTTCAACAGAATAAAGTTGAATGGAATTGAATTGAATTAAAGTTGAATAAACTTCAACTTTACTGTTCAGTGCACTGATGTCAGACTCATTTTGGATAGTAAAGTTTGTTAAATTGTTAAATGCCCTTACATATCTCTGTCACCATTATAAGTGTTTGATCACCACATTTGAGTGATCATTGCAAAAAATGTGTTTATGTATATATATTCTGTTTATGTATATACTGTATTCTATATATAGTACCAGTAAAATGTTTGGACACACAAATGGGAAAGTGTCCAAACTTTTGACTGGTACTGTACTATAATATACACAAAGAATATCGGCATCGGCCTTTTTTAAACACCCTAATATCGGTATCGGCCAAAAAAAAAACATATCGGCCAGGCCCTAGTCAGAACATTCTGTTTTTGCTTCAAATTGGGTTATTATTAAATCAAATTATGCATATGAAATTATATAAATAAATTATATGAAATTATATGTATATGAATTATATAACTAAAATTAAATAACTGTGTAATTACAGATTTAGGTTAAATAAAGATGTCAGTCTTTATTTTTCTTCTTTTTAGGGCAGCAGTAGCTCTAGCAGCAAATAAACCATCCACATCAAAAGCTGCAGGACAGCCCACATTTCAGAAACAAATCAAAGAAAAAATAAACAAATACTACTGTTCCAAATATTCTGCATGTTGCTCAAAATATATTGTGTTCAGTTTTTAGAGTGGTCTCAGAGACACATTTTAGAGTTGTAACAACAATACCGTGACACCATGATATTTTTGCTTAAAGTTATCATACCGTCAAAATCTCATACCGGCCCATGCCTAGTGGTGGTCAGATAGAAATTAATCTTTTCCAATAAGTTTAAATAGATTTTTAACTATTATGGGCATTTTACCTTTATAAAGCCATATTTTCTATAAGTGTGCATTATCTTTTGAGTAAAACTCTTACATTTAATCAGTGAATAAGAATAATAAGACATTTGGGCAGTTACCAATCAAATGAAATCAGTATCAACAAAATTCATCTTTGCAATCCAGACATAAGGCATTTAGAAATATTTACACACCGTTTAATGCATTTAACCTGCAGTTACAAATGCATAAATAATTTGATATATTAAACAAAAAAATTTAAGACTGATATTTGAAATTATTTAAAAAATGAAAAGATACTTTAAATGTGAAATTAAAACCGCCAGTAGGTGGCAGCAAGTCACTGTTAATAAGCGAGTCATTGCGATTGAACCGAATCATTTAAACGGTTGATTCATTCAGGAACGAATTACCGTCATGTTGCTCAAAGACGCAAAACAACGCTGTGGCTTTGTTTGGAATTATTTTTGTTGGCAAAATAGTGCAAAAACAGGCAATATGGTGTCTAAAACGTAAGTCTCTTAATAAAATATCTAGTTTATTGAACTGTTGTAAAAAAAATTATTACATTTGTATATGGTAATTTTTGGAGAAAAAAAGGCACTCTTCCATGTGAAATTGATTAACTATATGAAGTGGTATAAATATACACATTTTCTGCCCCCCCATGTCTTGAATTTGTGATCATTCTGAATGTATTTTAATAGACTGAATCATGCAGTGAAAGCGCGCACTGTAAATGCGCACGTGCACTAGACTTCACGTAATGCGTGCACGCTGTAGGTGTTTTGAATGTTTTTTTTGCGTCGTGAGAATATTGAGCAAAATAGCTCACTTGTCATGGTGTTACTTAACTATATCATATTATGAATAAACTAAACATTCAGAATTTTTACCATAGTGTGTTTCTTCCGAGTTTGTGTACTGTTACGCTAATTTGTTATGTAGACTTTCACAAAGAGACAAACATAGTGAGCCTCAGCGCGACCTTGTATTCTGTATTATGCTAACTTACTGCAATTCTGTATGATGACGCAGTAACTTACCGCGGGGAAGAAAAAAAATCTACGGTCTGTCCAATATTTTAGCGGTAATGTGACCAAAAATATTTAAGACCCATTGAATCCAAATTTAAGACATTTTAAGACTTTTTAAGGCCTTATATTAGGAAAACGTTATTTAAGACATTTTAAGGCCTTATATTAGGAAAACATTTTTTAAGACATTTTAAGACTTTTTAAGGACCCGTGGACACCCTGATCTTGGATGGTCTGAGGGCGAGTAAGTTTTAATTTTTGGGTGAACTATACCTTTAAATCACACATCGGTTTTTGCTGAGAATTGAAATGAATTTAATATTATGAAGTTACCTGACTGCCTTTAAGTTTGAATATCAAGGTTCAGGCAACTTACCATCACAGAAGTGAACATTGAACGGCTCTCTCTGTTCTGGCCCAAGCAAGCATTTGTCCCACAGAACCACAAGCTCCTGTCGGACCTTATCAACCACCTCCTCCAGCTGAGCCATCTGCAGCTCCTCCAGATGTTCCACATAGCCCTGCCACTGCAAGAGGAAATTCACTCCATTAGCACTCGTTGGTAAACCACAAGGAGAGTTAAGATCCCTGATAGGACATCCTGTGGGTTACATGCAAAAGCTCTCACCCGTCTGATATCATCAGAGAGAGTGCTCATGGCAGCCTCTCGGAACGCCTCGCTTTCCGGCTCAGGACAACTCAGACGATTCCACAGGCTCGTAGCTCGCTCTTTGAGTTTGTCTCGGGCGGAAATCAAGGATTCCTTTTTCATTGCAAGCTGTGTGGTATAAATATTAATTATGAGTACAATAATGATGATAATAATAATAATAATGGTTATCAGCCAGCTGGCAAGTTTTTATTTTTTTATATACTTCTATCCATTTATACTTGTATAGCCAATTTCTATTCACATTTGGTGCGATTTAATTTTGGACCATGGTTAAGATGCTAATCTTGTTCTTATACAGCCACTAGATGGCACTGCTAGTTCATGCAATGTTTTTAGAAGCCATCGTATCCATGCAAAAAAAAAATTATATATATATATATATGCTTTGTTTTTTGAAGGGGAAAAAAAAGCAGCACCTGGCTGAGCAGCAGTTTCAAGGCTTTGATATTATCATGCGTGAGCAGAAAAATATCAGTGTCAGGGCAGATGGACTCCCGTTCCAGACTGCTCTCTGGTTCATGTCCCATCTCCCCCATCAGGCTCCTGATGTCCTCCCTGAGCCCAGAGAACACCTTCTCCCTGCTCACCTACAAACAGAGCTTAAATCACAAAAGCATCCAGGACAGAAACTCATGAGTGATCAGAACAGTTCCAAAAAGAAAAGGGATAGATACTTTTTCTTTGATGAGTTTCTCAACATGTTCCTGGAGTTCCTGCAGCTGGGTTCGAGAAGGCACACTTCCCGATGGGATGTAATATGGCGTAGAGCACAAAGTTACACACAAATCCTCGTCCTGCTTCTTCAAATCACTCAGCTCTCTTAAACGTTCATTCTTCTCCTTTAGAAGAGATTCAACATGGCACCGCAGGTTCTTCTCCATCTGGAGGACTGTAAGGTCTTGCTCCAACTATAAAAGATTGCAGGATAACGATCAGAAAAACGGGAGCTTTCCATAATTAGGGTTAAAATTCTTAGAAAAACATAAAAAAAAATGTAGACAAATTTCAGACAAGCATCAATAGTTTATAATGCCCAATTACTAAAAGGCAATACTTCACAGGTCTTCTCTTACTTTGTATGGTTCCAGTCCCAGTTCCAAGCACAGTGTATCCAATTGTTTCTGGAAGGTAATGACATCGGTTCTAATGCGATGCCTTAAGGCCTCTTCCTCCATAATCATTGAATGCAAAAGCTCCTATAAAACATGTTTAATTCAGAGTAAGCATCAATCAGAAATTGGTGAGCGATGTGACGCATGCAAAGGCATTACTTACATCTATATGCTTTTTCACAGTTTGCATTCGTTCTACCCTCTGCTCCTCCATGATGCCAATACTGTCCCATATGTCCACAAGCCTGGCCATGGAATGATTGATCTCAGTCACCAGAGAGAACGCCAGAGCTTCACTGCTCATGAAAACATAAGGAAATAAATTAGATTAAATGAATACTGATGGATCTTGTGGTGTTTGGACTGACAGCATCAGTCTCCATTCACTTTCACGGCATCTTTTTGGCATACAATGTAAGTGAATGGTGACTAAGACACATCACTTTTTAAGTTCAAGAGAAGAATGTCAAACGGTTTTAAAGCAACATAAGGGTGAGTAAATGATGATAGAATATATTATTATTATTATTATATTAATTTTTTGGCTGAACTATCCCTTTAACATTGGCTTAAACGCCCCTTAACGCCTAAATAAGGCTCATGACAACAAAACAGATCAGCAAGACTTTAGTTATTTACGTTAGTTAGTTATTTAAAATTACTACAGCGTCCGTAAAACTCGCATCATAACCAAAAAGGGGTAACGTATGTAACTAGCGTGTGTTTTGCATTACCAGCCACGATATAACGTTACATAAGATAATGAGACACGGCCATAATACAATTTAACCTAGCGCTAGTTTGGCATTCTCGACTTATACACACTTACCTTCTGCGACAAGACATCGTTGTTACGTACTAACGCACAACTCCGTCGATAAACTAAATAAAATATGAAGTATGACAAGAAATAGCAGTCGCCTCGCTCTGCAGCTAACGTTACGAGCGGTAAGATTTGAATCGCAACTGACGTCTTCTTGTCTTCTTCACTGGACGCAATGAAAAGCGACTCATATAGCATCACGACTATTGCGCCACTACGCGCCCCGGAGCGAAATATCCTCCATAACAAAGTAGTTATGTTGATATTTGTTCGATTTTCTAGTTGTTTTTGATAAATATAAAAAACTTAATATGAGACATAAATGCAATTTTGTCTTCCAGTGTGTATAACAACAACCCCTGAGTTTGTACAGTAGCATTCAAAATGTTCATATTCAGTTCTGATTCAAACAGGAGTGGAATTTTTTTGTGCTATCTTGTTAATTTTATGAACATATTCAACATTTATCATTTCTAAGAGCTGAATATCATGTTTCATGTGTTTTAATAGAAAATATGTTTTCCAGCTCTTAAGGCCCATTTGTGGATACATTACACAGACGAGTCATTAACCAGTTGTGTCGTATGAGTAGCAAAACAAACAGCACTGTGGATGGTATGAAATGACAGTTGTTCCATGTCTTTGTCACCAGCCCCAAAGAAAGAGCCTCTCCTTAAAGAATCTATTACTGGTGTGTTGCAGCAAGCTAGAATTACATTCACGCCAACTTCTTTATAGTCTTTTAAAACCATTTTGAAGGTGCTCACTCCCACTGTGTCTATTATGGAGATGCAGGAGCAATCTAAGATGATAGTATGAAAATCAATGTGTTGTGAAATCAAGCTTACACTTACATCTCCATTTGTTTCATCTACTCTATCTGTCTTCTTCGCAGCCTTTTCTCTAGCTTTTTTCTCCAGTTTTCTTCTGCGGGTTATTTCAAGGAATGGCTCAAGATCAGTTGCTTTATATAAAGATTTTAAAAAGAAGTCTTGGTTGGCGTAGAAAAGAGGCGCTTGAAAACGAAAGATCTTCACCTTTGGAACAGGTGAAAGATTATCATACTCTTCCATGTCCTCATAGTCGTTGGTTTGTTCAATTTGTCCCAGTAACGAAACCTTAGGATTCTGAGTCTGGACCACCACACAGATCATAGAGAAGACAATACCAATCAGCAGTCCAATCTCCACGCTAATTAAAGCAGTTGAGCTCATGCTCACCAACCAGACAATTGCCTCAATCTTGCTTTCACGCCATTGCTTAGGGACGTCTAGAAATTTGCGCAGGGCGCCCCGCAGACTGACGATGATGATGCAGGCGAGAACACATTTCTGCAGGGCATAGAAAAATGGTGCAAAGAAAAGAAGGACCAGAAGAACCACTAAGGCACTCACTACACTGGAGACCTGAGTCTGGCAACCTGTTGAGTCTTTCACCATAGTTTTTGCAAGGGCGGCACTTGAAGTGAAAGAATGGAAAAATGAAGGAATTATATTGCAAAACCCAATTGCTATCATTTCTTGGTTGGGCCTAACTGTGTAACCATTCTTTTTAGCAAACATCTCAGACAGAGAAACGGTAAAAGCAAAACTGATGACTGCTAAAGGAATGGCATCATATGCTACTCGGGGCATCAGTTCAACACTGGGCACCTTTGGCGGAATGAAACCAGTTGGAATGGCACCTGAGATACTGGAGCTAAACTGTCCGTTTAGATCAGCAAAGTGGGAAACTACTGTGGCAACTGCCACTACGACCAGTTCTGTGGGTAGTGGGATCTTCAAACGGTCCTTATAGCGATCCTGGATCTCTTTTCCTGCAAGCAGCACTATGATGCAGATGGCACTTGTTATTAAGTCACAGAAGTTGGTTTTGTGGATGTTCTTGAAGATGTTGATCCAAGTGACCACCACTGTGCCGTAGCCTTGGTGTCGAGGGATCTTAAGGCCAACCAGGTACTTTGCCTGGACAGTGAGGATAGTGCAGGATGCCCCAGTGGCAAACCCATCAAGCATAGGAGCAGACAGATAAACCGAGACAAACCCCAGCCTGAGAATGGCCATCAGCACCTGAGGAGAAAATACAATACACTTTTCAATAAAGGACATGACATTTCCTACTATGTATTTATTTATTTATAAATATAATATAAATGGAATTGGAAGATGGCATTCGCTGTGTTCCAAATGCAGGGCTCTACGGATACTTTTCTTTTTAGGAGCGCTTGTGCTCCTAATTTAAAAAATGTAGGAGCACGGTCACAAATTTAGGAGCACCTTCTAATCAGTAATAAAAAATTCTGATAAAAAAAATTAACCTTCCCATTACGAGGTGATATTTGACTCAAACTGATTTATAGGGAATTTAGTTTTTACCTTTGTAATGGCATTTTTCTAACTTTATTAAAAGTATGTCATCTTTTATGTCAAAATCAAAAAAATATATTTATAAGCTTTTTAACATTTCTAATTAAGACAACAGAATAAAAACAAGTAGAATAAGAAGTAGAATAAGTTACCAATCAAATGAAATCAGTATTTAAGAAATACATTTGTGCTACAGAGATGGCACAGAAGAACACACAAGTGGCTTGTAGGTGTATTTTCAGACGTTTAATGAGGCTCAGA